ACACGAGGCCGCCATGAATCTCCTCGCTCGCAATTATAGAACAAACGCCGGCGATAAAATAGCCATTTCCTTAAGTTACGGGGCCCGTAAAGTACGGAGTAGGATGCTGCTTTACGCGGTGATAAATAAATCGCGGACTAACGCCGGGGCACGGATACGTTCGCGAACGAATAACGCTTGTACGACGTAACGAACCGCGCTCTCCACGTCGACACGTTTCACTCCGCGACGACGATGGTTATTAAGAAAAAGCGCACTGCGCGTCGCGTCGGGATGATGTAGACGGCGCGCTTCTCCCTCGAGAGCTTTCGCTCGAAATAAAACACCGCGACGCGAAAAAGCGCGCGCGTCGTAATGTAAGCCGTCTTCGACGTCATAAAAATACTCGGAGACGATATTTAGAGAGAAAGAGCGAGAAAGATAAGGGAAAAGAGAGAGAGGGAGGGGAAGAGAGGAGAGAGAGAGAGAGAGAGAGAGAGACTTGGCACCAACTTGATGTAATATATTGTCAAGTCGTCGCACGTCCCCTCCGTCTGCCCTCCCTTCCCGCGGTCGTCGAACACGAGCACCAGTAGCAGCAGCGACAGACGATGTAGGGGGTCATCATCGTCGTCTAGTAGCTTGCCAACCCTCCGCCCTTTACCGCCTGGTCTCTCTCTCTTTCGAGGAGAGCTTTAATATCTCAGTTATGCTCCCGGTTCACGGGCTATTAATTATCCCTACCTAGTTGCTCGCTGAACTCGTCGCGCGTGGGTCAGGTCGATGGATTTGTTGCGAGGATTAGCTTCAGTGACGCGTTAAGCGAGAGAACGAAGAGAGATGGGACGGGAGGGGGAGAGACCCGGCTCTTCTCCCGTTATATCCAAGGAAGAAAACGATACCGGACGATCGATCGGTCGTGAAAGATCCGATGGACGGGAAAATGTCCTACATACAATGAGAGATTATCTCACGGTCTGTTCCAAAACCGGCGTATCCGATATATCTTCTTCTGCACGGAAAGAATTTTATATTACTGTAAATACACACACACACACACACACACACATATATATAGTATATATAGCGTGTATGTGTATATATATATACACATACTTTTTCGCACCATATTTCTGCAGTAATTTAGTGCCCTTTCATTTGACGCGTGCTAATTTTATTCTAGAAACTAGAACGTACTATTAAAAAATTTGTAAAGTGCTATTAAAAACTCGTAAAGTTGAAAAGAATTTATATGGAAAAAAAACTGTAATATTTTCTCCGTATACGAGAGCGAGGGCGGGGATTCCAGATGTACGTATTTCCATCGAATGTACGACTTTGAGAATAGCTGTTAACTTGAAATACTAAATAAATAAATAAGTAGTTCGTTGGATATTCGGCTGGTCGTTAAATACCATTAATAGTTTCAATACGAATAACAACGTCGTGAATATCTTAAAAATTACAGAACACGTTTATGCTGCTGACTGCAAATCGATACGTCGCTAAAACGAGACACGAGGCTATACGACTATTGACAGACGTGGAGTCACGGCCGACTATGTTTCTATTGTTACCGATGTAAGAAGCGCCATGTAAGTTTTATACTTTCCGAACTAACTTCTTGCGCGCGTTCGTCAAACTTTGACTCTCGAATAACTGAAAAATGAAACTGTTCGCGAAGAAAAGTTATTCCCGCAAGGCGAATCAACCTGTGACAGGGGATCGATACGCGCTCGCCTAACAACCACTTCAGACGTATTCCACGTCTATTTCCACGTTCGACTCGCTGATGTGACTTCTCCCCAGTCGGAAGTCGCGCGTGTCGATCGGCCATTAATCTACCGTCATTAATTGATCGTTAATAAACGTCGGAGGAGCTGCGCGAGTGTTGTTTCGTCCAACCGGCTGTAAAGATCATCGCTTTCTCATGTTTCCGCTGGGCAAATTAAACGACGACGCATTTCAGTCGCAACGCAGAACGCGGAAAAAAAGGTAAAGGCACCAACACGCACGTATCTAACCTTGAACGTTCCAGCTGTTTCCTCCTTTGAAGGAGGATGCCCAAAACGACCTCTGAATGAACACGAATGGAACCTATACCAAAAAAAGATAGTACTCCTCGAGTACATGAGATTTGCTCGTGGCTTATCTCTCTGTCCAAAGTATCTGAAACGAGATATAGGGCTTCAAAATTACATTATATGAATACTTATATTTCGCGAAAATGGAGAACGTTCCCAATCGGAATACGACGTATGTCATAAGACATTTATATATAGATCAACTGACATTCAATGATTTTAAATCTTTATTCCAGTCGACAAATGAAAAATTGTTCTTTTATACGTTACATCAGTCTGTGAATATATACTAGAGAATATGGAAAAGAAAGGCTTCTAAATAAATATGTATAAAGATGATTAAATACGGAAAAATACAGAAGATAATAATTAGCTGAGAACTACAATTAACTGAAATCGTCAAATATTTCAGTTATCATTCCTATTGAATTAATTTTTTAACCCAGAGTTTACAGAGTGATCGCTCCTTTACTAATGAGCAATCATTAAAAGTTTGATGAAATCGATAAAGGCAAAATACAAGAGTAAACATATTGAAACTTTGACCACTTTAAGCGCCTACATCTTCTTTCAGTCACTAGACACAGGAATGTGTCCATTAACAAAATTTAAGAACAGATAGGGAACTACGAGTTGGTATAAGTTTGATCGCTGTCCACGGGGCTCTCGGAATTCCCATATATCCTCCTTTAAAGTGTTATAAGTAATATTTAAACTTTCAACGTAGAATATACATACATAAATGTTCCATGTTGAAAGTTGAAGTGTTCGTATCTAAAGAAACCAGAGCGACTAAATCCAGAACGACAAGAATGCCCAGGATCAGGTACGTGTCCGGACATTGGTGCTTTTACCTTAGGCCCACGATATATAGAAGTCAGGCGACGCCGAAAGTTTTGGCGGACGGCCTTCGGCGAGGTCAAGCGAGACACGCAGAGCGCGCGCGGTGCTGGCAGGGTCATCGACACGTGCCGATCGAGAGTGTCGGTGTTGGTAAGTGTTCCACCGGTTTATTTATACGAGAGCCGCAGAGCGACGGTTTCGGGTCACCGCCTCGTCGACGGCGTGCCGCGTCGCGTCGCGTCGCGTCGGGGGCCACGGCGAGTGATGACTCGATTACTCAGGCGAGCCCCCGTCTATCGCGATAATCCGCAGGAAGTTGGAGGAACGACTCGCAGCTGGCGTGCGGAAACGCGCGCGGACGAATACGCACGCTTGGCTCGTCGAGAGAGCCCGTCGTCTCTCTTCTTCTCGTCCACCTCTTTCTTCGCCGTCCTATCTCCCTCTCTCTCCCCTCCCCCAAGCCTTTCTTACTCTCCTACCCTCCCCGCCGGCGCACACTGTCGAGAAACGAGAATGACGAGCGAGCACACTCGGCATAGTCACGCGAGAGCGGTCAAACAAAGAAAGTCCGGGGCTAGGACCCGACGAGAAAGCGCCGAATGCAGCTGCCTCAACGGTCGGACATTCACTTCCCCGATGGCGGACGGTCTCGTTTCCTTGGCGATCCACCGGCCGGGTTGGACGTTTCGTCGCGGAGACACGCGAGCGAATTTGCGACTCGCGTACGCGAAACAACTCCTTGGAATTTTCGACGAATTCGCTTCATCACGCTCAACGGCGACGCGATTGATATTAACTCTCCGTCTACAACTATAGTTTTTTGGACACACGGTGCAACCTGGATCTGTCAAACCCGAGCAACTTTAAACTACTACTGCACAACTTCTGTTGAAGATCAATATTTCTCGACAAATTTCTTCTCCAGAGGTGTAAGAAAGTCTCAGCTAGAAGGATAATAGCGTGATGAAATCAAAATCAGCAAACAGTTTGCGCCATTTTGGATTCTTCCCAGATCCTTTACGAGTTAATGCGCGATTAGCAGCATTATCTGGACTATGTACGTAAGCGGGAAGAAGTAAAAAAAAGCGCGATGTTCGAGGCGCGAATTGAAGTGTGACGGATAAATTTGATAAAGCAACAGAGACATCGCGAAATGCGTCCGATAACATTGTTCGACATTTGGGATTTAGTGCAATACGAGCAAATGTTTGCGTGTTTCCCTTTATCTGTCATAACAAGACCGTCGAAAAATTTGTTGTTTGCTTCATTTCGATAGCAAACAGCCAGCATGATTTGAATATCGCGGAAGACCTCCTAAAAGCGATGCGTTTGTGTGTCATATTGAATCGCGCGGTGTTATTGGCACACGTTTCGGATCGTTTCTGTGTCGAGGTTATCGGCAACTAATCGAGCAAAGAAGAAGAAGAAAAGACGTAAGATACGTCGTGATAAACGTTACCGTTTGGTAATGTGCGCCTTGCGTTGATGATTAAGTCTCGCAACGAGATCGTTGGCATAACGCAATTATGTTGCCGCCGCGGCGGTTTAATGCATTATTATATACGTATTTGAAATCGCTCGTGCATGCGCCAGCGCTATTAATGGCGCGCGTAGTCGAGCGGAAAAGTAGCCACGGTGGATAAACTTTTTATCGTCGTTGCATATCGTAATGCAACCATCAATCGGCCGAGCCGGTTAGCAGCGAACGTAATACAACGCCCAACCTTTCACGGCGCCATTTATCGAAGCACGGATCTACTTTCGATTCACGTAAACTCGCGAACGCGTATCAATGGCAGCGTTCATGCATATTCTCCGTCACTCCAAAAATGTGCATGTCAAAAAATAGACGATAATAAAAAAGAAAAAAAAACCATACATACATTTATAGAGTGTATCGACTCGAGTCAGCAGATTTATTTCTGTAGAATCGCGAATATAGTAAAATTGCAAATAGTTTTCGTTGCGCGACATTGAATATTAATATCGCGACTCGTCAACTGAATACTTTTTTTCCATGACATAATATCGCTCGCGAGTTCACGACAATCGATCGACTGAGACATTCAAAGACAAGCAATGAATCTGACTCACCGGAGCATCCTCTCGTGACGGTCCCTCTCCAGCAACTCCTCCGGGCTGGGCGGCTGCGGTCCCAAGAGGGCGTGCGACAGCGGCGGATATCTGGACGGCCTCCACAGCATCTCCGACGAGACGTGGTGACCCGGTGGCGCCGGGCTCTGGTAGCCGACCGGCGGCGCGGTCGCCGCGGCGCTCGCGGCGGGGTTAGGCGCACCTTGGCTCGGATGCGCCATCAGGAGCGACGTGTGCTGCACGCTTTGCACGTGCCAGATCCTGGCAGGCGTGGCAGCGGCAACCGCTGTCGGAGCGGAGGACGATGTCGTCTCCTCGACGCTGAGCGCGGAACTTCTGCTGCCGCTCCTCTCGTCGCCCGAGCCTGCGCTCCTCAGGGAGCTTACCCCGCTGTCGGAGCCGGTGTCGCCGTAGGCACCGGCGACGCCGCTGCCGCCCGACGTTGCCCGTATGCCGCCGACCACCGATGGTACACTGGCGAGAACACCCGCTCCAGGTATACCGGCCCCGGCCTCCACTTCCATGAGGCCGGCCTCATCGCCGCCCCTCGATGTGTGAGACTGCTGTTGCACCTCGAGGAGGCTCGACGGGGTCAGGTGGGGATGGTGATGGTGTTGGTGTTGGTGCGGGCTGCTCGCTAGCTGATGGTGGTGATGCTGCGGCTGTTGCTGCGGCGGTTGCTGCTGGTGATGATGATGGATCACCGGACTATCGGTAGAGTAGCGCTGTTGGTGGTGCTGATGTTGCTGTTGTTGGTGATGGTGATGGTGTTGGTACGACTGCTGTTGCTGTTGTTGTTGTTGCTGCTGCTGCTGTTGTTGGTGATGCGGCTGATGGTACTGCTGCAGATGATGATGGTGATGGTGACTGGCAATCGGCGGTGGCGGCTTGTTCAGTCTCTCGGCTAGGATGACCGGACTTTCGTTGTGCCGATTGCGTTCCTGCTCCCGCTGCTGTTCCAGGAGCAGGCTCTGCCTGCCAGGGCCGCCGCCGCCGCTGCTACTAAGCGGACTCAGCCTCTCCAGCACGGAGCCTGAGTCCTGACTGCTCGACTCCAGCAGCTCGACGACCGATTCGACGCTGGCCGCCCTCACACCGCCGACGCTACCCACGCTATCCTCCGTGCCTAACTCGGTGGTGGTCAGCTCCGTTCGGCGCGACCGCTGTGAGCCCGCTTCCTCTTCCTCGTCGTTCTCGTCGCGCTCTTCTTCTTCTTCCTCCGCGAACCTCTTTGTCTTTGATCGAGCGTTTGACTTCAACAACGACGGGCTACCTTCGCGGATGGCATTCGTCTTGTCGTTGGCCACCGAGTTGACGTGCAATCCATTCACGAGTAACTGCGGTTGCTGTTGTTGTTGCTGCTGCTGCGGCTGTTGTTGCTGTTGCTGCTGTTGTGGCTGTTGCTGCTGCAGTTGTGACTGTTGCTGCTGTTGCTGCGGCTGCTGTTGTTGCTGCTGCTGTTGTTCGCTCCGCTCGTTTTCGTTAGCCTCTCGATCGGCCGTGCGAGCGTCCTTTTTCGATTCTGACCTGCTACCTGGTTGCTCCTTGGAAGTTGGATCGCCTCCGGGATCTACTTTGTCCGGAGGTGGCGGCTCGGGTTCTCTGTCCCTCTCTCTGGATTGACTTTCCTCGTCCTCCTCGAGTTTGTCGACCTCTCGCTCGGTCCCGTCGTGTTTTTCCTCCCCCGCTTCTTCCTCGGCTTCGTCGTCGTCGTTCTCGTCGTCGTCGTCGTCGTCGTCGTCGTCGTCCTCCTCCTCCTCCTCCTCCTCAGCCTCCAGCACTACCTCTCCGGCTCGATCCGGTGCGGCGTTTTTGCCCTTACTACTCTCGGAACGAAGCTTTCTGCCGACGGGGCTTGTTCTTAGCCGCTTAGTCAGTGGATCGCAGCGTTCCTGGCTCTCCTCATCCTCTCCCCCGAGACGCTCTTCTTCCTCCTCCTCCTCTTCCTCCTCTTCCTCCGACCTGCTACCGAGACGTTCGTCCTTGTCAGCGGCGGCGGCGGCGGCGGCGGCGGCGGCGGCGGCGGCGGCGGTAGCGGCAGCGGCAGCTCTCGCGGCACCGGTACGCTGATGCTGCTCGGTGGGCTCTTCCGCGTCTGTCTTGACCTCCTGGCCGCCTCCTGGTCTTAGTCTCCTTCGCGCTGGTCTTTGCTGTTGCGCCGGTGGACCGTGGGTCGGACTCTTTACCGCGGTGTTGCGTCTTCGTAACTTCGAAGCGCTTCCCGATGCGCTGTTCGCCTCTTCCAACACCGGCCGCGCTACCCGATTGCCGACCCTACCCGACGTTGGGCCCTTGTTCTCACGATCCTCTTGCTGCCGCGCGGGTAACGCCGCTTCGGGATCCTTCTCGGTTCTTTCGCGACTGGCACCTTCGCTCACGCGTCTACGTCGATTGTTACGGGCGTTGTTCTTCTCTGAAACAGAGAGAGACAGAACAACGATGTACGTGAGGCGCAGGCCGACCAGTCAGAAGATGAAATTAATAATGGAGCCGTCTTGGGCTTAGAGGCGGGCATCGGAACGGTCTGACGCGGGCATGGATTAACTGAATTTACGTTCTCCGTCTACGTCGCTGGCGGGAGCATAATAGTAGGAACGGTCGGTGAATCGTTAACTCCGTCTTAGTTCACTAAACTTCGGGATCTTATGTCCTACTTTTGCAATAATAATGTACAGCCCTATAAAGCACAACTACAACAGTTTATTACCGCGAATCGCTCATTTCGATCTCCTAGCGCTATACATTATTTCGCGACTGAACGAGGCCTTTAACTTGAAGAGTTCTCGCGTTACGCTCTTTCCCACGACCTTGTGACGAAAACTCTAACTCGAATTTCTCTCTCTCTCTCTCTCGAAATTGTGTCCGGGGACTGTTTCTTTTCCTTTCATCGCGACAAACTGCGACCGGGAAACGTCACGCGAGACGGAAGCCGCTGATTTGCACACAGCAGCGGCGTCGCAGCGAGGCTCGGCGAACGAGCCGCGTGCGGCCGCCGCTAATTATTGAAATTATCGACGGTACGCGTAGATTATCGCGCACTCGATACCCCCTGTGCTCGAAGGTTATCTCGATACCCTTGATCGGACCGCATAATTGTGGCGGACGATCGATCCCTACGCTACAGCTGTCTGGTACATCGGCTGTTCACCGTTCAGAGAGATTACGGAGCTGATTTACCGAGGTAATCCCTTTGATGTGCGCAGCCAGTGATTCGCATAACTCGGTAACCCTAGGACGCTATATATAAAGCTGCCTCTCCCCCAGTTACCTCCGCACCTACCGACCTGTCCCTACACCCCGCGTTCTTATCCCCTACCCCCCGGTGTCTCTTCGTATATGTTCTCTCTCGCGCGTCACATAACTCAATACACTAATTCTCATACGTACAAACACGTGCGCGACAAGTATTCGTTGAGATTGCGAGGTACTGCCGCGAGAGCTCGAGGAGAAATTTTGCGAAAACTGGACTCGCACCTTCCTCCGCTTTAAAGACGATAATTACGAATAATTAACAATATACTGCGGCGGTGTTATAATTAGCGACGGTAGTCGACGCTTCTCTGAAATCGAAATTGCTGCTTCCTACGTCCCGACCATTGAGGTAAATCACGGTAACGATGTAATAGTATTATCGTCCGCTCCATTGGCGCCCGTCCAAAAGTCGATAACATCGGCGACGGCCGATATAATAGCCGGGTGCAAGTTAAAGGATTGTTATTGGTCTAATATTAAATTGCCTCTCAGTTTATTGGACCGAGTCGGCTACCCGCGCGCCGACCGTACGTATCATTATCATCCGCGCGGCGATCCCGGAGGTTAGCGTGCCCGGCAATGGCAGTGCATTATCAACGTCGCCGCTATCAATCTTCCCCCGCTGACCTCGATCGAGAGCGTCGGGGCCTCGGGTGTATATACATACGCGGATCATCGTTGTGCTCAAGGAATCACGTTCAGTTCGCCGCGCGTTCAGCTGGCTTTCCGGTTCCCGCCGCCACGTCGGGGAACCGAGTTCAAGAGAGTTCAAGGGGGTCCTCGATTAACCCAGTAGGAGGAACATGGCCGTAGCATGGGAGCAATTTACAACAATGCACGTCATACACGTATATCACGAAGAGAGAGGGAGGGTGAGAGAGAGAGAGAGAGAGAGAGCGAGATAGGCGAGCGGATAGAAATGCATGCCCATATATGTGCGCGCGCTCGCGCGAGGGAGAAACTGGTTGGGAATGGATAGAGAGGAGGATGGACAGGTGGAGGAGGCACGCATACACACACGCAGAACACGTAGACTGGTAGAGGGAGAGACAGAGAGAGAGAGAGAGGGGGGGGGGGGGGGGG